CGGTCCTGCGAGACCTCAGCTGCAGCGTCACACTTTGAAAGCATCAATAATTCTGTTAATAATTATGACCAGGATGAGAGATTTTTCCCACCGCGGGCGCATCTGAGCGAATGCCATGCTGTGAAAATCGCTGCTAAGTCACCATGGCGACGGTGAGTCCGCCACTCGTGTGGAACGTGAGCAGAAGGAGAGCTGCCATTGGCCGAGAGCGCCGAGGAACAGGATGAAGGAAGGAGGCTGCTGACAAGATGGCCATGCAGCAGAGGACGAGTGTCCTGCAGCGGAGGACACGGACCGACACGGAGCTTCGACGTGTTTCGTTCCTGCTCAGCCTCAGACGCTGGACAGACTTCATGTGGGCCGATGAATAAGTAAAGGTTCATATGCACGGCAGGGCTGTCAAGCAGGCCGAGGAGCCTGAAGGGGTCAGGAGGCCCTCAGGACGGAGCGTATGTTTGAAATGGTTGTTTCTTGCTGGAGGGTCGACAAAGAGACTCAAAGTGACGATCAAAAGATGCACATGAGCTACAAAGAAACACTAAATTACTACGATCCAAAACAGCTACTAAGACTAGGAACAACTACAAAAAGATGAAAGGCATAAAATAACTACACAGACGTGCAAAATGACTACAAACAACTGCAGCAAAGCAACCAAAAAGAGACAAAATTACAATAAAGAGACAGAAAACTCATGCAAAGGGACTCGAAATGGCCATTATGAGATACAAAGCAGCAAGAAAGAGACTCAAAACAACTACAAAGAAACAAAAAACAACTGAAAAGACTCGAGGAGATTCAAAATGAAGCAAAGCAACTTCATGGCTTTGTGTATTTGTATCTGAAATCACAGCAAAATCGTGGAAAATGACTCCAAAGAGTCTCTGAACAGCTACACAATCATGCAAAACAAATGAGATGCTGAAAAAAAACCACAAATATTTGTAAAAGAGACACGCAAAACAACTGGAAGAAGCAACCAAATAGCAGACAAAATGCAAAATTGCTACGATGCAAAACAGCTAAAAAGACCCAAAAAACAACTACAGAAAGATGCAGGATGACTATGATGCTGAGAATTACCACAAAGATTTGCAAAGAGACTCAAAACAACTGCAAGAAGATGGAAAGCAACCAAAAAGAGCAAAAAACTTATAACAAAATGGAGCATGAACCCTTTTATTCCACATTCTGTGCATGTATGTGGTGCTCTTTGCTGTCATTAAATGATTTGATCCAGATTTTTGTTGCATTATTGTCAAACTGCATTGTGCTTTCTGTGCCAAGGTTATCCAGAGGATCTACAGGGCAGAACATTCACCGAAACTCAGTCCTCCACTGAATCCATTCACTCCTGACTCTGTTCTGACATCAGACTCAGGCTTCTGGGCTTTTATCCTGAAGACGTGGAAGAAAACTGTTGGTAAATTCAATCAGCAGTGAGCTGCTGCTGCTGCAAACTGGATTAGGCTTCGCTATTGATTGGAGTAAAAGCCACGACGAGCTGAGCCTCTGTCATCCGTCAGGTGGGACACACTGTGCGTTTCTGCAAAAACAGAAATGCTGCAAGGTCAAACTGCAGCGCCAGGAAACCTGTCACGACCGAACACGGATGGCACTCACTCTGGGCTCTGGTGCACGGCGAGCTGCTCCTTCACGCACAGCGAGGGAGGCGCATTTCTGTTCACCGAGAATCAAACATCCAGCTTGTTGTGACACCGGCTGGGCAGCACGCATCCGACGCCCAAAGGGCCCGGAGGGCACCGACATGGGCGCACAGGATGACAAGACGCGCAAAACATCTGCCGGAGCGCAGTGCGCAGCGTCACCAAAACAAACACCGAAGAAATGAACACCAGGTTCCTGCAGCGCTTCTAGTCGCTGACGTGCACCAGTCTGTCCGCGATCCTCCGCCACAGGATGGAACACGACCCGCTCTTACCTGCGCCGTCGGTCCGCTCCGTCGCCTCGGTTTTCATCGCCTCCCTGCGGTTCTTCGCCCTGACGGAGCGGTGATGCTGGCTCACACGCCCGGGGAGGAGTGCTGGAGGAGCGGGTGGATGGATGGATGGAGGGAGGGAGGGGGCTGGGCCGGGGGGAGGATGCAGGAGGTCCGCTGGATGGCTGCCGCGGGAGGAGAGGCACAAGGGTACAGGAACGGAAGCATCTGCGTCACGTTACGCCAGATTTTTATTTATTTTTTTATGTCTTTAAAGGGAAACGTCACTAAATGTGTCGCTCTGCACAGGATCGACTGGAGGAGGAAGAGAGTCAACACCGACATGAAGATGGAGTTTATAAAGTTCATATAAACCTGCAACAACCCAGGAGGCAGAGAACGTTCCCACAACATTATCTAACATCACCGACACGTTCTAATAATGTTTGACAGAAAACATTTTTAATCTGATGTTTAATGAACGTTTTAAGCATGTTTACAATATTAATTAATGTTCCTGTGAGGTTAAAGGTGAACTAAGCGAGAACGTTTTAGCATTCATTTGTTGTCAGATTATGTTCCATGACAACAAAAGAAGAACGTTCTCAAACCAACATTCAGAAAATGTTTTTCAGATGTTATCGAGGCCTCAGAAGACAAAATGTGTTTTTATAAAACATTACAGTTCTGAGGATGTTTTGGGGATGTTGCTGTTGAGAACGTTCTTCGATAAAACGTTCTGACAATGAAAGGATGATCTCAAAGCAACATTTGGAAAACACACACTTGAAAATGAAAGAGCAACAATAATACCCACATAGGAATGTGTAACGTCAAGACTAGACCTGTTCTTTTTCTGCTCAATGCTGCTGCCTGCTGGAAATATTAAAGAAGCATCACAAAATGCAATAAATAACCAAAGACTGCTGAATGAATGAATGTACAGAAGTGTGTGTGTGTGTGTGTGTGTGTGTGTGTGTTTCTATAGCACATTTCATACAATGGACAATTCAAATTGCTTTACAACTTAAGAAAAAACAGTAAATGACACAGATGTTCAATGAATTATCTAAAACTGAGTTAAACATCGGACACATAAATAATCTAAAATTATTCCTAAAAATGTCTTACTGCTGTTGTTTACCATATATATGCATATAAACAGTGTGAAATTGTCAAAAAATATTCAATAAGATATATGAAATGTTGTAGCGAACAGAAAAGGTGCAAACAAACAAACAAAAACGGTTTCATATGTTAGAAAACAAATAACCATCTTTTGCCTTGATGACAGCTTTGCATGAGTTTGACAATATCTGATGTGTCTCATTAGGTCTGGAATAGTTGGTGTAGGAAACAAGTTCATGGTCGTTTTTGTTCACTGCATCATTCCACATGTGTTATTTCATAGAATTAAACATTTTAAGCATTGTTGTACACTGGAGAAATCAGTAAAAGATAAAAACGTGTCAGACTCCTACACTTTTACATTATATATCCGTTTTTGGTTTTAAAATCAATGGCAACAGAAGTGCGCTCACTTGTGTTGTGTTGTATTGCTTCCTGAGGGATTTACAATTAAAATACTACAAACAAATGCAATGTGAGCGCAGTCAGCAGACCACAACGTACTGACTGCATCAAATGCTTCATATAAGGACATGTTTTTAACACAGTTGCTCAACAAAGTGTTCAACAAAGTTTAGTTTGCTTAATCAGCGTGGTTATGATTTGACTGCACTCGATTGTTTTCACTGTTTTTAACAATGACTGTGGCTACAGAAATATTTTTTTGGAAAAATCAAAAAACAAACAAACAAACAAACAAACCCACACACAAGTAAACAAGTGAAGCTTGCGGGAAGCTAAACTCTGAATCTGTATACACAATGGTATGTTGATTATTTACAGCAAATATATTTTCTGACTTTGAATAATTCCAATAAATACAGGACATTAAAAGAGCATTCACTCCCTCCTGGGGATCATGTTTGTTTTTAATGACTCATTTTGGAGTCTTCTTATTGTCTCCAGTTTGAGATAAAAGAGATGAACTTGCGTTTCCAACAGTTACAACCATAATGAATTGAAGTAATGAAAGTATAATTACCACTGTTCATTGTTGGGAGACCTCTGGTGGTTGTTTTCGATAACAAAATAAGCAAAAAACACAAGTCAAGCAAAATAACATCTGGTTTAACATGCAAAGAATGTTTGACAGGCCTGTTTTTCTGAAAGCCTTCCTACGTGAGGCTTCGGCACCGTTCTACCACATTGTGAACCACCACCAGATTGTGAATGAGATACACCCCTGGGAGGAATCGGTACATAAATGTCTTAGGATTTGGATTGTCTTGGATTGTAATTTGTGTGCTTTGCAACAGCGGTGCCACAGTTAAAACCCAGTTCTCATCAGCAGCTTGTCTTTATTATTAACATTACATATTTACATTGTTTATTTGGTGTAAAAGGACATAACATGATGGACAGTGTCTCTATAGTCATTTAACATCCCATTTCAGGTGCTTTGTGTGTCATTAATGACAATTGTGTAGTGTCGCTATTTTTTTTTTTTATTTCTTAAGAGCTTGTATTATATTCCCAATGTATTACTTATGTAGGACAGACATGCATGGTCCAGCTAACCTCTTGAGGGCCAAACAAATTGGTAATAAATGTTATTATTTCCTCAGGCACCTAGAGACCAACAACCCTCAACAAACCAACAAAAATAACAAATCAGTGACAGCAATTTTGATACCTCAGTAATTGTTTAAACAGCTTTTTAAGCAAACGTAAAAAAAAACATTGTCAAATCTGAATTTTTGCTTGTTTCCTCGTTTTTGTGTGATAGCAAACTCAGCATTTTGTACATTTTTGACTGTGGTTATTGAAAAAGAAATCTCAATAGCTTCACGTAGGCTTCACAGAAGATCGTCATTACTTTGAATCAGTTATAAAATCGTCTTGTCTCTAAACGCAACGAGATGATGGTGATGATTTGTCCGTGAAGGCACCGCGGCCTGTGATTGGCTGCTGCTGGGGGCCAACCAGAGTTCAGCGTCACACACTCGTTGTCCTCCGACACAGAAGAAGAAGGAGACGGACGGCGGTCCAACTGTCAGCGCGGGGACAGAAAGTGTTCTCCTTCACCGTCCCGGACACCCGAAACACTCCCTGCTGACTGGAAGCGTTTCATTTCACAGTTCGGAAGATATAAAGTCCGTACAGCTGAAACAGAAAGCCTCCCCTGGGCGTCCGAGTGCATCACGCTGCTTCTCCTCCTCTCCTGAAGTGAGCTAACTTAGCCTGTTAGCTTAGCAGGCTACACACACAGAGAGCCGCGTTCGTCTGTGCAGGACTTTTTACCATCAGGACCGAAGAGACTCGGAGCTGCACCACAACCGACCCGGGCTTCACTTCACAAACGCAGCTGCACGTTTTGGCCTCAAACGCGGCATTTGCACGGAAAATATTTAGCAGAAAGCAGCAGAAATCACCCTACAAAACAAGGAAGTCTGAATGAACTTTGCTGCTAGCCTTTTAGCTAGCACCTAGCTAGCCCCATAGCCACATTGATTCATTTTGCTGCGTGCTTCTGCAGCTGAAGGGGGTCTGTGCAGCATCCTCGGCTCTGATATTGATTATCTGTGGACACATCTGGCCGTAAAGTCGATATATCGATCGCTATCGCCACAGCGTGCTGGTGTACAGAGCTCTGCCACAACGTCTCTTAACTTGGAAAGAGTCAAACGGACGTTTCGGAGATGATTCCCGACAAAGCCCCCAAGGAAAACGTCTTCCACGGGTCTGAGGACCTGAAGAAGGAAGCTCACATCCCCAGCTTTGAGAAATACAAGGAGCTCTACATGAAATCTATAGAGAATCCGGATGGTAAGTCGCCTTGCCTTGTCTCAGTCAGTGGAGTGAAGAGGACACCTGCCACATGCAAATTAAAGACAACATCTGGTGTTAAAACATGCATTTAATTTAAAACCCACACAGTGCAAACACAGCATCACAAACGCTTTAGAAAACACGTGTTTTCTCAGCAGTGTAGAAGGTTGATTCACTCAATTCCCAATTTTCTTGAGTGATTTGAGTCTTAAATGTAGAAAACACAACACAAAATGCCCATGGTCGGCTTCTGGAGACAGTTTTTATTTTTTGAAGCCCCAGCAGTTCCAAAGGTATTCAGTTTAACAGCATTTTAAGTTGCACGATTAAAATGGTTGCTGATTTAATTGGGCGGTGCTCAACTAAGTAATGAACTGAACTATTTTTTATTTTCTAATTCCACGTTTAAAATGGGATTACAAAAATCAAACCTTTTGAAATTTACTTCTCTCAGAAAGTTCTGTCTGGTAAAACCAACACCAATCTTTACCTGACCGCAGTACGGGGCGATGCATGTTGTGCTTTGTTCTGTAGAAAATGTCTCTTTGTAGATGAGTGACATTATTGTTAAATACGTTGTTCACCTGCACAGTGAATTCTAAACGGAAAACTAAAATGTGTCAAAAGATCTGTGACAGTCAATTGTAACTCCATCCTTATTCTCACAAATAGATCTTACTGTCTGCAACCTGCAGGCGCTGAAATATTCTGATATTCAATTAAGTTTATTTTTCTACAAAAATGGGGGGAAAACGTTTGCAGCTTGAAGGTTCTCAAATGAGAGGATTTGATGCCTTTCTTTGTAAAATATGGTGAAGTTAATGAAATTAAATGAAATGTGTAAATCTTTGTGGCACAGAGAAGAACTTTGAAGACATACCTTCCTGTAGGACGACTTACCAAGAAAACTAAGACAATAATTCAGATTTGTGGCCCTCTGTTTAAAAAAAAAAAGTCATTTTGTAAAGCTAAGATGCTCATCAAGCTGTACTTTCAGCTGCTTAAATGTAAGAATTTGCTGCTTTTTCTTGTATGAAATCACAGTAAAACAGAATATCTTTGGATTTTTGACTGCTGTTCAGACTAACAATTTAAAAAGCAGTTTTTCCTCATTTTCTGACCAAACAATAATTAGGATAATAGCCTTTTAATAGGTGATAAAACCCTGATTTGTTAAAAAAATGTTCATGTATCCAGTGTTCTGTGTTGCAACAATGCACCTTATTAACTGCACAACTGGAGGTGTTTTCCTGGTTTTGAGGTAATAAGGAAGCATGTCCTCTGTGGCCTGTGGGTGGAACGTACTTCTAATAACCTCAGTATCTTGTTAATCAGTTTGCCAGCTCAGGTTCGTTTCTTTGTAAAGCAGGGAGGTTGTGTAAAGTCCTTCAGACTGAAATAAAGCAGTAAAATGTGTCTGGACTGCAGATTGGAGCAGGTTTCAGGTTCAGTGGGTCTGATACTTTGAGCTTACTAACAACATTTATTACGTCTGGAGTTGAGAGTTAGACGGCGATGTCGGGTTTGTGCAATTTACAGACAGATAAGATAATAATACAACGAAAACCTAAACTAGCGAAATTAAAGTCTGGCAAACATAAAATGGCTTATGTTTGAAATGATTTTACTTCATGAAGAAAATCAGCCACATTGAATTGCAGACTGTAAAAACACAACAGTAGCAGGACACTCGAGTTTAGTTGGATCTCGACAGAAGCTGGTTAATTATTTGCAGCATCGTAAGCGAAGTTTATGGGCTCTGCTGGGAAGTGGGTCAGACAGGTGATCCTGGCAGAACACGCCAGATTAGGAGACGAGAAAATCTTGTTAGAAAGACAGCATATCTGCTCTTTACCTAAACGATTGGCTGTCAGGGTGGGAAACTGCATGTTATCTCTGGACGAACTAAATGAGCCACTTTACCTGCTGCCCTAGTTAGCCTCAATGAACACAACAGAATTCTTTTATCGTCATTGCACGAGGAAATTAAGCAGCGGTCCTGTCAGTTCATTCACACTAACAGGAAAAAAATGTTTTAATTTTGAAAAATGCAGCAAAAACTGTTCAAATATAAAACATACAAATATAGTAGTAATCTCTGAAAACACAGATTTGATGTATTAGAACTATAAAACCAACATAACATAAGTATACAAGTAGTACAGAAAGTCCATACAAGGTGGAGTTGTATGTAAACATATGCACAGGTTCAGTGTGTAAATAGAAGCTGTAGAGAAAATTAGGCACCAATCCAGGCTTCAAGCAAGTGTTTTTGATAGGAATCGACCGATATGGGTTTGTTTTTACGCTAAATACCGATTACAGTTATTGGTAATCAGAAAAAAAGATAGATTATCGATATTTGGAACCGTATGTTAGATGTAATGTTTTAATATCACGTGACAGCAGAGAACCTGTCGTTCATAATTAGGCTTCTTCATTAATAAGCGTGACTGAGTGTGTAAAATAGAAATAGTAGAGATTAAATTAAGACGCTCTGTTTCTGTTTGATCGACTGAGATTGATCAGTCTGCTGTTCTTCTCTGTTTTATCTGTTTCTATCACTTTTATTGCCCACTAAGGTTCATATCTTGAAGCATTATATATGATCGTTTTCCAGATTCTGTTCCAGGTTCATCTGTGGCCGTCTGCTAGCTTAGCAGCTAGCCGTTAGCGTAGCTTTAGCCGCTGTGAGAGCAGCTTGTTTCCTGGTTTGTGTTTCTCGTTCCGTTTGAGACGTTTCTGAGACCACAGAGTGACGACAGACAGAGAGAGGAGTAAAATAAAAACACAGGCTCCGATGATCGGGCTATCCCTAGTTTTTGATACGCGATTTATTTGATTTTTTATTTTTTTAAATGGATTTTTGGCAGGTCAAAATGAAGCACAGGTTTCACAAGTTGTTCACAATTTATCAACTAACGGAGAAAATAATCAGTTAAATTCTGAGTTGCAGCGAGTTTACAGCAGTTTGGATGATTATTCCCTGAAACTTTTGCTGGTTATGTCTTGTCAGGCGTGAAAGGTTGTTTATACGCTTTCTGAACGTTTTTAAAAGTTAAAAAAACATGACAATTAATTATAGAAATAACCAAATGGATGTCATGAGAGGTTTGATTGAGGAAACAAGATGCTTTTTTCCACCCCCTTCTTTCTTTTTAAATTCCTGTGAGCGCTTCCAATCTGATGCAAAAATAAAACATTCGTCTTTGCTGAAAAATATACATTTCTGGCTCCCGTCACATCACGTCAACTCTTATTGACCCTCTTACATTTTGACAGATCATAAAAGCAAACTCCTGGCTTGTATGTGGTCCCATAAAAGCCGTGCGATATCTGTAATCTGTTCATCTGCGTCCTCCGAACACGATCTGAGCAGAGGATGAACCTCTCCGACCGCTCTCTCTTGTGTCCTGCAGAGTTCTGGGGTGACATCGCCAAAGATTTCTTCTGGAAGACCAAACACACGGGTCAGTTCCTCGACTACAACTTCGACGTGACCAAAGGAGAGATCTTCGTCAAGTTCATGGAGGGAGCCTCCACCAACATCTGCTACAACCTGCTCGACCGCAACGTCCACGAGAAGAAGCTCGGCGATAAAGTCGCCTTCTACTGGTGAGTGTGGAGCTTTGTGTGTGTCTTTGTGTGTGTGTGTGTGTGTTCTTTGTGAGGGTTTTGCCGCCGTGAACAATAGCAGGACTGAATAGCAGCAGATCGTGTGAATGGAGCTGCAGTCGTCCTCTCTCCTTTGTCTTTCCACCTCCTCCCCTCGTTCTCTGGTTTCTTCTCGTCCCTCCAGCTGTTGTCTCAGTTTCTCACATTTTGTTTCACGTCAAAATCGTTTGCTGTTTATGTTCCGAGGCCACTCTCACGCCAATGTGTCGTGAAATGATGAAGTAGAACAGACATACTCCGATGGTACTCGTTCTGCTGTCAGTACCGGAGAAATTAAGAAGATATTTTTCCTGTTTATTGTGTTTCTGTAGCTCCTCAGTCATCCAGGTCGGGTTAAACCTCGGAGCTTCAGTAGAAAACAACCGGACCTCTTATTTCCTTTTTATTATTGTGACATAAACGGCATCTTGTTCTAGGGATCGACTTATAATCAGGGCCGATATTCTGCGTTTTCCTGATTATCGGCATCGTGGTTGGGTGATTGTTGCTAAACTAAATGCTCTGCTTGGGTCTGATGCAGCCTTCTCTCTCTGTCTCTAGTCATTCTGTGCTCTCTCCAGCAGAGACACAACCTGTAAAGACTGAAAAAGAAGCACAAGCCGTTGCCACAAACCGGGAAACTTCTTACTTTCCCAGTGGCTAAGGCTATGCTAACAGCTAGCGGCTAAGTTAGCAGGCAGCCACAGATTAACCCGAAACAAAGTCTAGAAACCAATAATTAATGATGCTTTAACATCTGGGCCTTAGTGGACAATTAAACTGATAGAACAGGGAGAGATTAAGAACAGCAGGAGAGAACCTCTAATGTAACCCTCCGTTTTCTGTTTTACATTTTCAGTTAGAGTCATACTTATTAATGGAGATGCTGTTGACTCATGACAGTTCATGTACATCGGGTCCATTTATCAGCCTCACACACTAGAAAGAACAGCAAAAGACCTGAGGTTGCCTAAAGTGCACATCAGCAGCGTCTGTTATTTATTATCCACATTGAGTTAATTGCTAGTAGTCATGTGAAGAAATTAAAAATTGAACATGGATGTCCCCGGTCCAGACCAAAACACAACGCTGGAGCTTTCAAGATATAACCGGAGCCAACGTGTCCAAAAGTTTTTAGGGTCCAGGAACGCTGAAGCAGTGCAGAAGTTACAGTCGTCCTCAGATTTATTCATACCCTCCCATTAAAAACAGATGTCGCTGAAATAAATTGAAACTGCCAAAAGTAATAATAAATAAGAATTTTGTGAAAAACATGACATTGGTTTTGAATTTTTTTAAATTATTTTTTTCAACCACAATTCAAAAGCAATGTCTTATTTCACTAAACTATAATTTAGCAAATTTTTATTTATTATTATTTTTTTCAGTTTCTGGTTATTTGAGTGACTATTATGAATTTTGCCTTTTTTTAATAGAAGGGGATGAATACTTCTGAGGACGACTGTATACGTTTTAAAGTGTAAATGTATTAGTGTGGGTGTAGCCTGAAACAACAGGCGGCGATGCTTCGGTTTTGCAACAATAGAAAATGAAATAAGAATCAATGACGCAGCTTAAAATTAGCTTTAAAAAAAAAAACGGTTACCAGAGACACCTTGAAGCTTCATTATAACTGTTCACAGCTTCACCGTGTCTGGAGAAAAGAGAGTATAAAGCAGCAGCAGCAGGTTTGGGATCATTGAAATGCTGGAACAAGCCTCGGATAATTCTGTGCAGAGTTTTTGCTGCAAAACTGAGCGTTAGCATTAAATCAGCATGATCACTAGTTGAAATAAAGGCTGGTAATCAATAAAAATAGTTTGTTTTAGACGGGAAACTATTTGCTCATACCTGTTCTTTTCTCCTTTTTGTATATTAACTGTTGCTCTTTATTCAATAATAAAATAATGGATCGAATAAACAGTAGAATACTTGTTGTATCATTTAAACAGCAGTCTGCACATGAATCAGTAACGACAAACATGTTTTATTCTCAGAACCTTCGAAGCAAAATTAAACAAAATCAGCCTCCATTTCTGACTTGACATTTATTGTCAAAGTGCCGTTTAATCTGGCAGAAAACGGAACATAAATTAAATAACGTGTCAGTCTGCAGCATCACTTCTTCCTTCCTCAGTTCTTTCTCTCAAACCCCTCCGTCTCTAGTTTTCTTTTCTCTCCTCGTCACTGATGCGTCCTGATATGAACGGGGAAGCCGCCGAGACGAATGCGGTTCAGCTACACGGAGCTTTTAAAGAGCTGTCCAAAGGGAAAGTGGGAACTTTTTATTGGATGTAGCAGCGATATCATAAAGCGTGTCCATCACTGTGGTTACGTAGCCGGCTGAGGTGACTTTCATCTGCAGGAAAATCTCTGGGAAATACCCGAAAGCTCAGAGCTCCACCTAAAATAAACTCCGTGATTCATCCACAGTTTCCTGGAGATCTTCAAATTACTTCAAACATCATACATTCATTGTAAAAACACTAGCAAATGTCCACATTTGAAGCCAGAGGCCAGTAAAATCACAGTAAAAACATTTTTTAATGATGCAAAAGTCACCAGAGTTGTTGCCTTTTATTTCCTGTCACTGAATAAATCCACTAATCTTGACAGCTCTTGTTCAAAATGAGGCTGCAACAGAAATTTTCTTTATCTGATTCATCTTTCTGTATTGAATAGTTAATTGTTTAGTCATTAAATTTCCATCACAGGGTCCAGAGCTGCTGAATAAAGTGTTTTAGTCCAAATACCAGTGCAAAAAAATACACATTTGCATATAAATAAAGTAGCTTGAGCCAGTGAATATTGGCATTTTTTGTCACAGTCACAGATGATCAGAATCACTGCAGCTCATATTAATTTAGCTTCAGTCCAAACTAACAAGGCTACAGCTACAAGTAGCAGTTAGCCTCTTTGTTGGAGAGAGTGGTGATGCTAATGCTAATGCTAGGCGTTTGGAAACGATAACTGGATTTGCTGTAGAGTGTTTTCCATCAGCCCGGCCATAAACGAGAAGGAAGATTTATTTGTTTATTACAGCTTCAGCAGTATAATCAGATATATTATCAGCTCCACCAGTTCACTGGAGCAGTCTGCAAATGAGCTCATCGGTCTCTCTGTGTAAACAATAGCCGTCTGTGATTGGCTGTTACTTGCAACCAGTCAGAGAGAGAAGAGGAGGCAGCGTCAGAGCCAAATTAATGAGATAATTAAAGAAAAAAGAAAAAAAAATAGGCAAATATCGGCTTCTATAATCGATTATTGGTCGATACCGAGTAAAAATTTAATCTGCAAAAACGACATTAACATGTATGTAGGTTTAAAACTAGACTTAAATTGATAAATCAAAGCACTGAAACACATTTTAATCTTAAAAGTAAAGCTAGCTCCCTGTCATATGCCAACGTTTACACTGTTGCTCACCTGTACTGAAAATAAATTTGGCTTAGTTGCTCCATGAGAAGGCCCAGCTGCTAACAAAGCTTGGCTGACCTTGTTTTAGGGCAAATTAACATGCAGATTGGGCCTTCAGAGCTTCTTTCATGATCTAATAGTTTGGCTGGTGTTGAGCAGAGAGGTGTGAAATGCCTAAAGGAGGGAATTAGTCATCCCAGTTCCTCTAAAAGAAAGATTTAGGGATGATTGTTGTAGTGTTGGATACATTGCAGGTTAAATGTTGTGGCTATAGAGCACCATCTAATGATAAATTGATTTAAAGTAATAAAATGCAGTTTAATAAATGTTGTATCAGCCAGAAGTGAGCGTCATTTCTCTGTTTCTTGCATGAAAAGGGAATGAAACTCAGGCTGACTGCATTTTTCTCTCCGGTTGGACGCGTTCTACCACAAAGGCTCTATTTAAGTACCACCAGGAACAAGGATTGTATGACTCTGAACACTTATTTTTCCGTATTGCGCATGAATCACGCCGAGCGTACGTGCGAGCTGATTGTGACGGCGCGTGCAGGTCGGCTCAGATGGCACGTTGGACGTGATCATCAAGGTCAGACCTTCAGCACAGTGTCAGTTATTCTGTGAATGCAGCTTCCATCGGCTGCCAAACGGGTCACAGAGACCTTCCAGCTATGCGAGTCCTCCTCCTACCAACAGCACACACACACACATTACATTACATGACACTGGAAAACACACACACTCTTACAAATGCAATGCACACTGTTGAGAAACTCCAGTGGAACAGACGAGCACTGAGGCGGCTCTGTTGGCCGCTGATCAAACTCTCTGCTGCTGCTGAAACAGAGATGTTTTGCAATCTTTGTTTTCAGCCTCGACGCTCAGCAGAGACGACTGAAACAGACACAAACGTTAAATATTGTTTTCATGCAGCTCAGTTAAAAACTCATTTCAGTGTCCAACATAAAAGCCAGTTTCCCCCTTTTGTTTATGCAGCGTTCCTGCTTCTCTTCACACAGCTCGGTTTACAAGACTTCTGATTAATGAATTAATTACGGTGAGTTTTTAAACGAACGCGACAGGTTTTCTTTAAGTTAAGCAGTTTAAGGGATCCAGCTTGGGCTAGACAGAGAAAATCAGGTTATAAATGCAAACTAATACAACCTTCAGTTAAGATTTTTTTGCAAACAAATTTCCACAACATTAGAAAATGCAGTCCCTCATGCAAAACTAATAAGTATGATGCACACTGAAAATAAAATAAATGAGATAAAATAAGGCTGGAAAACAAACGTTATGATACTGAGGTGCTAAAATACTGCACGTGATAGTTAAATATTGCACCAGAAATTGAAATATTACACATTATAATGAAATATTATACATGAAATTAAATTATTGCTCATTACATCGGCATGTTTTGCACCAAACTTTAACATCAAGTGGAGAAGATAACGTGCAGCAGACTCTGCTCAGGTCAATAGTGGAGAATATTCAGGATACACCTGTATGAAACTGTGAAAAAAACTGACATGTGATGCTGTTTTTCTGTGATATATATATATATTACAAACTAGAATAGAAATAATAACTCTGTTGCTAAAGAATGAGTTGTTCTAGAATGATTAGGGTTGTTTTTTTAAATGATTGTCTGCATCGGAAATGAAAAATAATTCCAGAAAGCTAAATGAAAACCACCGGAAACATGACATATTTCCATGCAACTGTCCTGTTGCTCGCTCACTTTGCCGTGCACACGTGCAGCCTGCGAGTCAACAAACTCTTAAAGTTTTTAAAACGCCGACTTCTCTTGTCTTGACAATAAGAATCGTGGAACTGCTTTGTGTGTTTGTGTGGCCGTGCTTGCATCACACCGTCTGCTGAGAGGACGCATTGTGCAGCAGAACATGCATCGACTTGTATCTACTGCTCATAAAGCGTCATCAAATTCAGTTTATCTTCGGTGACTTTTGCACACAGTAGCTTGTTTTTCTGTGCAGTTTAGGCCTCCAGGTTTTTCCTCTCGTGGTGCGATAAAGACTTCACTGTCCGGCCTCCCTCGTGCTCTCTAGTACATGCAGCCCTTGTTGGTGTGTTTCCCCCTAATCGACCCACATTCTGTGTCTTCGAGCTCTCTCCTAATGCACTCCAACTCTTTGTTCGTCTTCTTGTGCGTCGTCAGTCGTCCGTCTCCTACCTGAAAGCTTCCCTCAGGTGCTCGGTTGCACTTCCACGCCACGTGCTGCGGACACTTTATTCGGTTCACCGAGCTAATGCGGTCCAACGGCTCCTTCTGTGTTTGTATACGAATCAACCAGGACTCCATTCATTCCCATGAGAGCCTCTGTGACCTCTGATGTGTCTGTGAAACTCCTCCTCATGTTTTTATTCCCCCGATACAGTGAAAAAAATTAAACTTTTGCAGCAGATCACGGAGAATCAAACATGAATTAGCTAACAGGCTATTTATGTGTTGACGATCAGATCATGTAAATATGAAAAGACATGAGTGTAGCTGCTGTAACATGCAGAGAACACTCGTACTGTCGTGGTTCATACATCCTGTAGCTTAATATTTTAAAAAACTGGCTCCTCGTTTGGCAGAAAAACCTCCTCGCTTATTTCTTTAATTCATGTTTTAGTGGCAGTTAATGCTTCATGCACAGGTTCCATAGACTGGACTGTAAAACCAGATAAATGATAATTAGCTTCGCCGCAGCAAAGTTGTCATCCATTACTTGTATTTGTTTATTATTATTACTTTTTTATCGTCTAATTGTTGTTGTTTTTTTCTTTGGTACATTATTTCATTGTTCAGTTTATTCTCTCTTACCCTTTATTTACCTAAAATCACTGATAATTTGACCTGGAACTAGTAATTATTATTTCATTAACAATTAATCTGCAGTTTTTGTGTTTAGAGTCATTAGATTGATCTAGAAAGTCTGTTTCTTTTTCATAGATTAAGATTTTTCCCTTGTTCTAAATGTTTCAGTGTGAATTAAGAGGTTTGTTTGTGTTTAAAATCATCCTGAAGCTGCAGCAGTTGGTCAGTTATTCTAGTTTAAGTCTTTTCTAGTCTGATTGTGCTAATTAGTCAGCAAGCAGGAGGAATTATTGAGCAGCTATTATGAAGTCAAATGGTTCCAGCTTCCTTGATTTCTGTGTTTTCTCGTTTTGTTAGATGGTTTTAATTTAAAGTTTGACTGAATCAGCTTGTGTGTTACATGTACGTGATGAGACATTTTATAAAGTTTGTAAAGTGGAGGAAGGCTGCTTGTTGTGAAGTTTAGTATCTTGGAAACTTTCACGAGTTGCATCCCGACTCTATAATATCTAAAGTAGTTTATAATGTAGAACTGGGACGTGGCGTCTGACTCGTTTTTTTTTTTTCTTCTGCTGTAGACTTTGATGCTGAGAGTGGAACTCGGCGATGTTCATCGAGGCCGCGGCTGTGTTTAATAATCTGGGGAGGCAGATCTGTCACAACCGATTCGCTTCCCTGTCCGTTATTGAGCCAGTGTTGTTACGCTGAAGGTCTTAACTCGTGTGTGTGTGTGCTGCAGTGACCTTGAGTGATACTTTTGCAAGAACAGGGTTTCCTGAAACGCCTACGATGATGCTCTCTTGTGAAAAAGGGGAAAGTTTGCACGAGTCGACTTTCACAACTGAGCTGAATTTGTGGCATTTTGAACTAAGAGTTCTGCTTCATGCCTGATCCTTGAGGATAAACTGAATATTTCCCCCTTTGATTAAATAAAAAATTAAACTCAGACTAGTCTCAAAGTAGAAAAACGTACTCAGTGTTAAGCCGCATTCAAGAATACGGTTAAATTTTTATTTTATTTTTTTTAAAGTGTGTAGTTTCAAACCAATAAGCACATTCTTCAGTAACTAAATCGTGCATATGAACACATTATCGTACAGAAATCCCTAAATAAAAGCTAACATTTGATTTAAATACCTTACAGGTTAATGCTTAATTCTAGCGGTTATGTGACAGTTTATTGTAACACAAACACACAATCGTCTCTTTTTCGAGATCAACACACCGTCAAACAGCTGAATTAAATGAGTGCTAACCAGCTGGTGCTCGTATACATCTATATAATTATAAATAGTTTTGATTTTTCTGATTTTAATTTGTTTCTGTACTTGTCCCCGTGCAAAAACAACTTGCAGTTCAGCTGAAAAAATCCCTGAATTTTTGTCACGTGACCGTTGGTTGCAGCTCAGTTGCTGATGTCTTCACTGATGCACTGAGGAGGGCAGAATTTTTAGTTTTTTATAGAATCTGGTTGCTGTATGTGGTTAATTTTTGGTGAATTAATGAATGAAACACTGCGTAAATGTTTATTGATGAAATATCCCCACACGTTTTCTGATGGAACTGCATGTCACGAATGAGTAGTTCAAGGACCTTCGGGAAACTGAAACTCCAGCAGTTCTTTGTACTTTTATATTTTCTGGCTCTGGTAAATGGCATAGTTTTGGTGCTATTTTGTTTTTTATTTATACAAAAAAAACCCCAGCCCTATTAAACCTGCTCATGGTTTTTTGATTAATAATTAATTATTTGATGTATACAATTTGATAGATTTTCATTAGTTTTATTATTATGATTATTTATGAATATAATTCTTATTATCTTCCCCTTGTTCCAGATGTTCCCTCACTGATGCACTGAGGAGTTTATTTATTTTACAGAATCTTATTATTGAACGTGTTGTGACAAACATGGTGGCACAATAAGGTGTTTCTTGCAAAAATTAAGAAACTGAGAGCAGCTTTTACAATCAGACATTGTTTGTTTATGGGGTTTTTTTTCTGTGTGTTTAATGCATATTTCAGGGAAGGCAACGAGCCCGGCGACGAGTTGACGGTGACCTACAGAGAGCTGCTGCAGAGGGTTTGTCAGTTTGCCAACGTCCTGAAGTCTCAGGGTAAGTTACAGCTGCCCCCGGGGTAAATAAAACTGTCTGCAGCACTTAAATGGTACATATACACCCTGGGCACTTTATAAGTTACGCCTCATGAGATCTAATGCAACGTCTCCACCATAGATTTTACTGTTATGAAGCTTCCACATGTTCACAGTTAGTTGTTGCTGCCATAAAGGTGATAATTCTGCTTTATATTTATTGTTGAGGTCATCGTGTGAGGCGGGTGAGCGTTGTGCTGCGTTACAACGTAGGTGTTCTTAATATTTATACTTATACATACACACATGAGCAGGGCACTGGATCGCAGCACCGCAGGAATAAACATAGATTTAGTAGAATTATCAACCTTTTTGACGCGAAAACTGAAAATGTAGAAGCTTTTTAACAGTGGAGCTGCTGTGTCACAGGGGTTTTATGTAAAATCAGACCAGTCTTCTATTTTTTTAAGTATGTTTTGTTATGTTTTACACAGAAATTGGTCTGAAAGGGTCTCCGGTTTTTGAAATTAAACCACCAATGTGCAGGAAAATTCCAACGCTCCATCAAAGAGGCCTTTCACTTTGGCATCTCGTCAACTTTTGTTTTGCCCGTAGCAGCTGGACTGTTGTGTAAATTTACCTCCTGCAGAGTTTACTGTAGATGTCAACTTACTCATATTACACAGACTCAGCGTTTTGTTTTGCCACAACTTTTGCGCTTCATATATTATTTGTAGACCCTAACAGTTATTTACCAACAGAACCACGCGGGTCTAACTGCAACCTACAACCTAAATCTTCTTTAAAAGTTTCCGTTTTCAGTGTTTCAGGTTGTTGTTTCCTTATCTTGAAGTAATTTTTGAAACCGTTAAAGCACAGCTAGCGAGAGGAGAGATATGCAGATATCGATGATCACCTTCAGTTAAATCTGTTTGTCCCTCAGTCAGATTGGTTTCTGGAGTTTTATAACCAGTTGATACGTATATAAGACCTGTTCCTCCACAAAACAAGAGCAAAAAAGGTGAGTTTGTGCCTCCCAGCAGAGAAAAAGAGCCAGAGTTGGTCATTCTGGGGGGTTTTTTTTCAACTGTTTTGATAGTGATTTATTTATTAAAGAGAATTATTTGTGTGACGCCGTCCTTTCTTTTTCTCTGGAACTGAATAAGAGACAACATTTGCACACCATATAAAGCAGAGGGAACAGAGCAACACCAGCTGTCTGTGTGAATATAGGAAGTAAAATATGGAGTTTCTGTCAAACCTGACCGACAGTGATGCTTCTGGTTTGAACAGATCTCATTCAGGGCCAAACGTCTCCGTGTTTTCATGCTGGATTGGTTTATTCTGTATTGTTTGGTAAAGTAAAGTCTGTTTCCGTCCCGTTTCTCTTTTTCTCTTCTGTAGGAGTGAAGAAGGGCGACCGAGTCTCCATTTACATGCCCATGGTGGTGGAACTGGTGGTCGCCATGTTGGCCTGCGTCCGCATCGGAGCCGTTCACTCCATAGTGGTGAGTAAATGGGATGTTTCATTACAAAACACTCCAAAAAAACAGTTTTTGGTTTGTCATTGTGGAGTACGATGTGAGTAGATTCTTTAAAAAAAACTAAAATAAATTTTAAGAGCCTGAAACAAAAATACAAAATGCAGAAAACTTGTGGGAATGTGGTAAATTCTGTTTATTCTGAGATGAAAGGTAAACATTAATGCTGAGTTCACTGCTGTTTCCAGTTTGCAGGTTTCTCTGCCGAGTCTCTGTGTGAGAGGATCATGGACTCTCAGTGTTCGCTGCTCATCACGGCAGGTCAGTTTCAGACCTAAAAATTTACTAATTTGGTTTTGCACATGAATATTTGGGAGAAGTTCTGCATCGTTATGACTCCACATGTAAATACTGATTACAGGATGGTGGTTTAGTTTAACCCTCTGACATTATTATATTGCTCTGTGACATCTGTGTCTTAAAGCCTGAAAGCAAAACCCCAATTTAACAAGAAAATATGGTCACATAGCACCAATACTCCATTGGTCTGCTTCAGGAAGCCGATATGTGACTTACAACAGATAAATGTTAGCACAAAGCTAAAGCAATAATAGCAACCCTATGTATTGATTTGGTGAACAGCAGGACTGCACAAATACAGTTCAAAACAAACAGTCATGATGAGTGAGTGATGCTCGGTACCTGGTTTCATCCACACGTTGTTGGCCACATAGTTCAGTCTCATCGGATCGGGAGATTTTGCTCCCCATAAGATACAAAAGCAGTTAACGAGAAGTGTCGGAAATGATGAATTTGTAAGATATTTACATTTTAAAAAGCCATTTGTCGTGCCACTATGAATAGTAGATGTTTTTAAGCCTGTGGGGTAAAATCATGGAACAGTCTGGACGACAAACACAAACCGTAGAACCATTTAAGAGACGAAAAAGACTGCTTGAATTCTAATAATTTTGGACAGTATGGATGGTATTGACGTTCCTCATAATGTATATAAGCATAATGTTTGAAGCGAAAGTAACGTTTGAGACGTATAGACATGTAGGAGGTAATAAGGTTTATTGTCCTTTTTTTTCCCCTTATGTGGTATTGTGGCATGTCTGAAATCAATCAGTCAATCAATAAATGAATAAAATGCCAGAAAACGAGCGGGGAAATTGTCGATTTCACCTCAGCAGAGCTCCCGTCTGTCAGTGGACACTCTGGTTTCTAAGCCGGTCGAGCTGAATGGTCGAAACAAGGAGCTGCTGGCTCAGACGAGGTGCTGAATCAAAGTCTTGTTAGCTGGATTAGAGGCTGGGGATATAAACTTGTTAATCCACTGGGTTAATAGCCTCTGTGTGGAGCCCACACACACAGTTTTTCTCATTCATCACAAGTCCTGCTAAGCGGATCATAGAGTCTTTATGTCGGGGTTCTTTTTTTCCCCAGTCTTCTGTCTGACTGGCAGTGTTTTATCAAAGTGTTTTATTTTGCTGTAAAAGAGCATTTACATCGTCAACGTTAGACAGATAACAACTTAGCCAGGTCTTATTGAGGTTTATTTTCATATATCATCTCGCTCAAATACTGGAGAAGTTGCAGAAGCTTCACTGTCAACCAGATCCAGAGACTGGTCAGCAAAAGATAATAGAAGTTAAGAGTGAGCTAAAGAGTGAACTTAGCTGCTGATGTATTCAATGTGAGAACACGAAGGTTATCTATTGAAAGTAGAGGAACATTTAGCTGCTAAAAAAAAAACATATATTAGCCTGAGGAGCTGGTGGAGACCAAAAATGGAGCAAAAAGGGGATAAAAGTTGGCATTAACATCCTCCTGTGGCTCCAATTTCATAATTACCACCAGATACGTAAATACACAACTGTTTCCAGATCAAAAGTGGTATTTTAGTGCTTTTTCACTGCTTCCAAGTGGCCGAAAATATAGTCATTGCAGGTTTAAAGATCTCCAACAAGCTCTGAGACTCAGAAATACTTGTTTTAGTCCAACAAAATCCAATTACAGAGTAGAAATATGTGAAAAGCACATCTGGTAGGTCTTGAGTTTATAAGTATGCCGGTATTCTTTACTTTATGTTTATTATAATCGTGCACAAGTTTCCCTCGTCTGCAGGTGAATGTAAAAAAACAGCCGTCTTGTGTCAAGCGCTGCACAGTGAAGGTGAAGAAACACAAACTTGTTTTCTCAGTTGTTTCATTTCACTCAAACCAAAACTTCGTGCACATTTTGTTTGAGGTATCTCTGCTTCCTGCACACGGGATGCTGTTCTTGACAATGGCTGTGCAGCTCTGCCCCCTGAAGCTACATTACTTTCTTATACATTACTTAATTTTCGGGACAGGATGTTTTTATTGCTTTATTTATTGCTTTCGTGCTACATTGCTGCTAATGTACAAATCTTTGCAGCAAATAAGACTAGTTCTGAGTTGGAGTGCGTCTCCTAGAACCAAAATGTTGATATAATTGTACCAAAACTTCTTTTTTTTAAACTTAAATGAAATCAACAGAGCTGCTTTCACTTTAACACTGAGCAAAACTGTATAGTGCAGCTGCTGGAGATGTGAGTTGATGCTGGACGAGAACAAGGATTCAGTGACGTTAGCATCGTTCTTCTTCTGCAGGTTTGTGGTGTTTTTTTAGCCGGTTGAACAAGTTAGTTGTACTTTACACACCATCTGGTTTTGCTCAGCATCACTTTAAATTCTTCCAAACAGGAGATGAGCTGTTTTGAGCGACTGACTCTTCCCCTTTTGCTCCACACATCTGATTGTTATTCTATCGGTTGTGTTTTGCTCTTTTTCTGTGGACGTCTTGATTCAGATCCAGGCTTCAGCTCCCGGTGTTCCAGTTTTATTGAGGCTTTAGTCCATTTCCAGGTTATTTACGTGATCTCGCTGCAGTAGAAGCTCGTGAGCGGACAGCGGAGCACTTTCTCTAACAGACTGACTCAGCTCTGCTGCCACAAAGACCGATGGAGGAGATTTAAACTCTTTCCTGCCCAAAGCAATAATTCTTCACTAACCTGCAGCTCTGACTGTGTGTGCTCAACAAATCACACCATGCATACTGAGTTAGTTAATGCTTTCATTTTGTTATTTGTTGTGTGTATTCTCCTGGATTCTGCTATTTTATTTGTGAGCTGTTTCCAAATTCCCACACTGTGATAAAGAAACTCTATCATCTGTAAATGAATCTTCTGTTTCCTCCGTCTCCCTCTGCCTCTGCATCGTCTTCACGTCGCCGTGTTTTTCTGTCTCGTTTGCTCAGATGGTTTCTATCGCGGAGATAAGCTGATCAACCTGAAGCTCTTAGCTGACGAAGCACTGCAGAAATGCAAAGACAAGTAAGCCGTCAAGACACACACACACCTCGGCATTAGTGCAGATCCTCACTGGTGTAAGAACGTCTTTAACGTCAGCGATATGTCTTATCCCCTAAAACCAGAACTTTAGCATACATTTGAACTACCTGTAATAATCTAATTTGTTGTAATTATCATTTATTATTGGGCTGGCTCCTCATCCTGGTGTTCATATTAAAGCGTAAAGCTGAAACTCAGTTGATTTGCACCTAAATGGCTGGAAAACTTGGTCAGAACTTGAATAGTTTTAGGAATTTCATCCAACCACATGTTTTAAGCGCTGGATTCGAGGCGTCTCCGTCCAACCGTGTCTGTAACTTATCGAACACACGTTCACATTTTTGAAAATCTATTTAAAGCTAAACAGACAACAGACATTAGAGAACACCCTGATGTCAGTTAAATCTTCTCTTTTAAACGCAGAGGCTTTCCCGTCGAGAGGTGTATCATGCTGAAGCACTTGTCCAAAGAAGCCGAAGACATCCTGGGCTCTCAGTCTCCTCCGGCCAAGAGGTCGTGTCCCGATCTGCAGGTGAGTTCGATCCGAACCAGAACGCAGAGTCCCGAAGTTCACGTCACTTTAAGTTCATTTAACTGTCCATAAATCCCTCCATTGTCATCCTTCCTTTTTAAAAGTTGTTGTTTTTTTTTAGTAACTGGATGTAAAATATAAAAGGTGGTGTTGTAATTCCCTTTCTGACCTGATGGTGGCAGTGCTGTCTCTCTGTTATGAATAGCAGACACTGATACAGATGTTTGTCTGCTCCTAAACCGGCAAGTTATGTGACACTTACTGTGTGCTGAATAAGACGACAGACGTCTGTAAATAACCGAAAATGTCATAATAAAACATGCTTCATTGTTAATTCTACGCCCTGAAAACATATAAACACACACACTTAACAATCCTAAACCTTGCTATCCAACAGGTTAACATAGCGACAGCCTTGGATTCTGACTCCGACATGACGTTTTATGTCACCGATCAGGATAACGGCGTATTATCTGACTGAACAATCCCACAGATTGGCTACGTTCACACTGCAGGACTTGATGCTCAATGAGGATTTCTTTGTGACTTCCTTCACGTTTCCAGTTCAATGCGACTTGTATGTGATCTGCTGTGTGAACTTCATACGACCCAAAAGTGTCCCGCATGCGCAGAAGAGGACACGACGACGTCACACGCAGCGAGCGTGCTCAGTGTTTATGGAAGTAAACATGGATGGTAACGGTGGAGCGTATCTGCCACTCCCCCGCCGCCACCGATGGAGGAAACAGAAGTGTGAGCGCTAACTAAACTAGCATCAGCAGCCAAGTACTGCCTGTGTGTTCTGGACACTTCCACCCCGTCAGAGCGCTGCCCCGGGGTGGAAGTGTCCCCCGACCCGCTGAATGTTCTGATATTTATGATTTAATTAGGTCTGAATATCCAGAGACCAGAAAATGCTATTTGGACCAGCCCAACTAGTTATTATAACAACTATGAACAATAATTATTAACAGCAAATGGGCCTTCAAGCATCAAGCCGTCCTCGTATCTGGACCTCTGTCTTGACAATCCGACATAAAAGAAGGTTTTACATTTAGTGTCGGATTATTGAGTCACGACTGTATATAATAACAATAATTTACCAAGAGTTTCTAAAGTGCTGCAGCAGACAAAGTGAACTTGATCAACATTAGCAGGAAATCAGGACAAAGTTATGACTTCACCTGCCTCATAGGAGAGACTGGACGTATTTCATTGTGTAAAAACACGTCCAGAGCCTTTAAAGGTGGAGCTGTTGCATCCGCCGAACAAGGATTTTTCCCTATTTTTATAAATAACTGATCCCGCAAAGCCTCTAAAACTTCACTATCACAGTAATTGGGGACCCTGATTTCTAACTTTATGTTTTTTTGGTTTTATTTTTTCAATAACCGCTCCCCTTCATTAACGTCTTCCTCCTCTTCCCTCCCGTCCAGCAGGAAAAACAAACAGGCAGAGTAAAGAAAACGCGTCCTGTTCCGAAGGTATTTCCATCCTCACCTCCATCCCTCTAAACCTCCATCACACCCTTTGGTTGTTTTGTTTGTTTGTTTGTTTTGTTTTAAAAAAGGAGAATTTAACCCGTAGGCAGAATTTACATTTTTACTGCTGCAGGGTAAAAAGAATAAATGATATAAGTCTAGTTTTTAGTTGTTTACACTTGAAATCTGTCAACTATTATGTTTTTGTTGATTAGAAATCACTTATTGATTTATTGTTTTTACCCAACAACAACAGCAGCAGCAGCAGCAGCATGTTATTCCTGTGGGTTTGGACAGTTCAGATGAAATTTGTGAAATTAAAAGATTAATGAATTTAAAGTTAACTCGAGTTAGTGCACATTAAATATTGTTAAATGCCATTTTAATCGACTGATGTGTTAAATTTTGCAGAATTTCAATTTAGACAAAACAATTTATTTAAAAAAAAAAAAGACGAAAGTGTTTCTGAACTGTTTAAATTCACCAGAATAAAAATGTGAATTCTGTGTAAATGTGCGACCTGGATTAACACCGTTCTCTCTCTCCTTGTCGTGAACACACTCTTCCCGTTGTGCTCGTTCACTCCAGCCGAGCGTCTTTAGTTTTAGCGCTCGATCAGCTGACGGCTGGTTTTCTCACTAACGTCGCTGCTGTGACACTTTTCTCCTTTTGTTTGAACAAATCAGGAAGAATCAGGGGTCCAATAAATACACTTCACACTTTCCTTTATTTGTTCAGCTAAAAAAAAACAAAAATAGCTTCACTGTTTTGGAAGATTTAAGTTTCATTAGTACAAGTTTTTTTATGATCTCGCATCCTTTTCTTGTTAAATCTGTAAATCAGCCACAACATCAAACCAGGTGAAGCTGGAGGATGTTTAATGCAGCCGTTTTTTTGTTTTGATGTGTTAGAAGCAGGAAAAAAATCCCAATTTGAAGTTTTATTGTCATTAAAGTGCATCCTAAAGCAAAAATAGAATGAAGCTTTGAAGGCAAACGTTTGCAAAACCAAAATCTGTAAAAGACAAAAAGATCAATTTGTCTTTTTTGTGTGTTTGCATATGTAAAAAAAAAAGTTCTCCCAGAGCCAGTACTGTGCAAAACAACAGTAATGATAAATATTTCACTATAAAAACAAATAAATACAGGTTAGAAACAAACAATAGGACATTTCCAAGCCTGATAGTGTAGAAGGGCAGATGTGAGCATGTAAATGGTTTTAATGTTGTGGCTGATTATTGGTGAAATATTCAAATTACAAACAAAAAAAAATAGGATTAACGTCCATTTAATGGCTTTAAAATGGTCATATTATATGTTTTTATTGTCAACAGTGAGTATCCATAAAACAAATGAAGAGTTCATTTGTAGAAACAGATAATTGCGTCTTCACAAACCTTCAGAAAACCAACTTCTCCATCGTCTACCTGAGACAACATCAATCAAACTTAAGTTCTCTCTGTTTTTGTCAAATCCACTCAGCTTCAGTTTGATTGATATCATCTCAAGCACACAACAGAAAAAAGAAGTTTTCTGAAAATCTACGAGTTTTTTGTTTTTGTAAATGAGCTCGTCATTTACGTTTTTGCCTTTTCAACTCCACAGAGGTTGAATTTCTCACCGTTTAAGCTCGTATTACTTTTGTATTTACGTCTAGGAGCAGAAATCATTTGTGTTTTGTCCAGTTTCCGCTCCAGACCCCTGATTCTTCCTCAGTAACGTTCATGTGATATATTCTGTCTCAGGGAGCAGATCTGGAGCCTTGTGTTTTCTCTTATCAACCACCGGTTTAGAAAATCTGTGCAGCGTCTTAATTATTCCTGGTTTTCCACTCGTTACGCCTCCTGCTGCTAATTGAGGAAAACCTCGGCTATGCTCCGTTAAACTGACTCCAGATGATTCATAAACACCTGAACCTGTGTCAGAAAACACAAGGCGACACCTCGACCTGCTGCTGAACCGTGAAGCAGCTTCATGGGAGGAAGTTACCGACATCAGAGCTGAGTCCACTCACTGTTTGACACCTTGGTTCTCTGATGGATTGTTTTCAGCGCTTCAAGGCAAACGAGATGTTTTATGAGTTTCCCTGCTCACCTTTCACCTTATATCTGATCTGCCCCTACGTCAGCCTCTCTCCTTTTT